TTGAGTATAAGCATGATAACAAGAATTTTTATCAGCAAAATACAAATATTGATCTAAACTACAGTCGCAAATCCAGTTCGTTGAATTTTCATTTTCTGGAAAAAGAGACATTCCCCCTCCACAAGTTTCCACAGGCTTCTACATTGCAAAAAAGAATTAGAATCATTAAAATTTTTCACAAAAATTATTTTGTGTTTATGTTTTTTGAATTAATATTTAATCGAATTTAAAATTAATCAGAATTTATACTTAACAGAATTTCTATACATGTAATCAAATTTTTATCTAACGGATTATTCTTTCAACATAATTTTCCCTTAGTAAACTTTTTATTCAAAAGAATTCTTTTTAACGTACGAATTTTTACTAAACAGAATTTCGTCTGACATTGAGTCGAATTTTTAAATATCAGAATTTTTATTAAACCAAATCTTCAATTGATTGAATTTTTATTAACACGAATTGTTATTTAATAAAAATTTTTAAATTAAGAATTTTCATTTATATATTACATTGAAAATGGTCGAATAATAATCAAACGACAGAAATATTTCGGCGCCAATTTTAAAATTGACCAATCACAATTTTCTTGACAGTTTCTGATTGGTCAGTTTTAAAATTGGCGCCGAAATATCTCTGCCGTTTGATTATTCGACCATTTACAATGTAGGATAAAAAAGAAACAATCAATCGTTTGGATTTTTAAAAATTTTAATATTTTTACAAAATAAATATTCTAAAATTGTCAAAAATTTTTTTTTTTAATTTTGATGAGTTGAAATTTCACCGGTCCCTCCCCTTAATAAAAATTCTGGCATTTAAAAATTCGACTCAGACGAAATTCTGTTTAATAAAAATTCTAATAAATAAAAATTCGTGTTAAAAATAATTCTTGTGAATAAAAAGTGTGCTAAATGGAAATTATGTTTAAAGAATATTTTGTTAAATAAAAATTTGATTACATAAAAAAACATAAATTTGAATAAAAAAAAGGAAACATTGAAAAATTTGAAAAAAAAAATTTTTTTCTAGGAGCACAGTGAAATTTTTTTTAATTATACATAAAGCCTAAATTGAAAAAACCTGCTTCTTTCTAGATTCATTGTGTAAAAATTTATTAAATAATAATAATAACTATTTGCTTAAAAATTATTTAAATATTAATTTTTTTTATTCTTTATCGGTATTTACATAAAAATCAGTAAATTGAAAAATTAGGAAAATACTACAATTTCCTAGGTGCACTGTATAAAAAGTTAGTAAATAACAATAATTTATTTAAACAATTTTTGTATAATATTTGGAATTAAGTTAACTGAATATTTAATTTAATTCATTAATTTAGTACTAAGTAAAGCTAAAAAAAAAGTTTGACAAATTTTTAAAAGTCTACTAATTTCTGTCTTTAAGTTTTTTTTGCAATACACAAATAAAACGTTTGGGTTATCCCTGTGTAGCCATTGGTAGTCCGCGTACAAAAAAAACTTCGGTAGTACAAATGTTAAATTAACTAATAATTCAATAGTATATTTTTCATTAAAAAATAATAACTATTATTAAATATTATTGTATTTAAAAAGATTTTTAACTCACCATATTTGAATTGCTAATATTTTTTAAAACCTGTATATCTCCAGTATTTATGATTTTTGCACTGATTTCATACAATATAATCAAGGAAAATATTTGTATGAAAAATAATGATTTCATTGTTTTTATATATGAAAAAAGTGTATGCACAATCTTTTGCACGAACTTAACCGACAGAACAACTATCATGAATTCTCTACGAGAAAATTTAAAAAAATGTATATATGGATAAATATAGCCTTTCAAGGCAAACCGGTTCAAAATAAAAAGAAATCAGCGCTATACTAAAAATACTAACAATAGCTATAACAAGTATCTATTTTTAGATTAACTGTTCTTTATATATATATATATATAATTAATTTCAAATATTAATCTTAATCGATATAACAGTTCATTAAGTGTTTACATATTTTATTATTAAAAAAATTTCAAGTGATACAATTTAAAAAATATAGTTTGTCGGATTGGGTTGAAATTTGCACAAAGTTCAGTACAATTTGGTGACTAGGGTCAGTTGAATAAATGGGGACAAAATCCCAATTTTTTACAAATTATGTAAGCTTCTTTCGGGGTTATTTTTTTAAGTTGTTATTTACATTCGCAGGATTAATTTTAAGCAGAAAAAAATTTAAATAAGCTTTAAACGCATGAAACTGACTGTTCTCATTTACCCCAACATTTAGAAAATTTCATAAAATTTGGGGTAAATGGGGACAGCATAGTTTCTAAGGTTTAAGAAAAAAGTTTCCTCAAGTATATTACTGTATTAAGGGATGAAAAAACTTGAAAAAATTTGTAGTAGATATATATAATAATTAATAGTTGAACCAATTGAAATTTTTAATTTTTTTTAATTTTTTTTTATTTCAGTATTTTGTCTCGCATTTGAAAAAAAACAGACTTAAAAATCATACAAAAATTTTTTCTTATTCTTTATGACTTCCATAACAGAAATTCACTTGAATGGATCATTTTCCTAGGAATCTTTTCACGTGGGTAAAAATATGATAGAAAATGTATAAAATATTCAAAAATAACAAAAGGCAGAAATTCTACTAAAAATATTTGAATTTGCATGAAAATATGTACTCTAAAACGTCACCTTCTTTTTTGATGCAATTTTTTTTTTTTTTTGCTTCCTCGTAGAGGAAGCTTTGTAGTCCTTTCGTTTATAAAATTTTTAAACATGGTGAAAACAAATTTACCTCTATATAGAAACATGTTATATGAGATCCTGATCAATTGCCTGGATGTATGTATGTGTGTGTGTGTGTGGATCGTTTTTGTGAACACGATATCTTTAACAGATTTTAATGTATTTTGATAAAATTTGGTAGGCTTATTTAACACATTAATCTCTCAAAAATGACGAGAGGATTTTTACAAATACCCCAAAAAAAATTTAATCGTCTTTTTTCCAAAAATTTTTTTTTAATTGAAATAATTCTTAAATAGAAAAATTTAAGGTAATATATAATATAATCATCTTCCTTACATCAAGAAGAATCGATTGGTATATATTAAGTACAGATTTGATTGAAATTTAAAGAATTAATGAAAGTTAAAAAATCAAAAATTCACATTTTAGCTAATAAATGTTGTGTTTTCTTAAATTCATGTTTATATATATGAAATAATTTTATTCCCTGCATTGAAACGAATTGGTTGATATATATAAAATATATATTTGATTAAAATTTTAAGAATTATAATAAAAATTGAAAAATCGAAAATTTATATTTTAACTAAAAAATTTGGTGTTTTTTTAAATTCAAGTTAATACATAAAATAATTGTATTCCTTGCATTGAAACAAATCGATTCGTAAATATAAAGTATATATGTTACACTCAAAATGAATTAAAATTTTCTTAATTTTTCAAAAAATTTAATTATTTTAAAACAGTTTTCAACTCGAAATTTTTCAAATCAATCAATTGAATCGAAGAAATTCATAGCTTCCTCCACGAGGAAGCAAATTTTTTGCTTCACACAATGAGGAAGCAAAATGTTTATGAAATAAACATAAAGAACCCCCTCCTTGTTTTGTTATATCTTCATAGTAAAGAAAATTTTCCATAACTTGACCCCGATACTGGTAGAAGTGAAAAAAATTTCATTTTTCTCAAAAAATACAATATATAGCAGTAAAAATAAAAAAAGTTGTAAATATCTCTTTAAAAGATTCTCTATCTCGCTTTGTTTTCGACATATTTCTAAAAAATCCATTTAAAGATAACAGTATTGTTTATTACATAAACACTTTTTTGATTACAATGATTAATTTCCCATTAATAAGAAATTTACTGAATCCATTTTGACAATTTATGAATAAGATATCGAATATTTTGAGGATTATCATATTTCACACATAATTTAGAAACTGTAAATTTTTTGAGCTACTTAAATAAATTGTTTGTTAGAGAGCGTCAGACTTCATAATATTTTTTGAACTCGAAAAAATACAATTTTCGATCAACATCATAATATTAATAAATAAAAAGATTTTTGAATTGAAATAATATGATTTGAATCGTAAATTTCTTTTTGATAATGAAGATTCACTTGAGCTTCCGACCGATTCAAAAAAAAAAAAAAAAATTTTGACTATTTTAGAAATTTTATTTTTTGAAAATATTAATATTTTTAAAAATTCATTCGATTGATTGTTTAGAATTATGAAAAAAGCCTATAAGAAAATTGCCGATAAAAAATAACAAAACTAGTAATAATTATAAATTATTTTAATTAACTTTTTTTAATTTTTTAAAATTTCTACATTTAATATAGTTTATTTATCATGTCTGTTGACTTAGATTCTCATTTTGGCACAATTTAAAATTTCAAGAAAAATTGTAAATAATTTATTTAAAAAACGAAAATTTTGTGGTGGTTTCGGTCGTTCTTGAAATTAATATAATAAGAAGAATAACTTGGAGAATATTGAAAAACTAATCAGCTCTCTAAATTTGAATTAGTGAAAAGTGAGCTACTAATTCACATTAGTAAGATTTTTTACTAATTTTTAGTAAAATTTTACTGTTTGATTTAGTAGTTAAAAATTTTTTTTACTAAAGTTTTAATAAAAAGTGATTCAAAATTAGTGGAAATTCTTACTAATTTGAATTAATAGCTCACTTTTCAATAATTCTGATTTCAAGAGACTTGACCTATTATTGAACCTTTTATTATAAAATATTACGAGGTTATATTTATGATAAAAATCTAACTCTGCCTCTTGAACACAAAATGTTCATATTTTAACTTGGCAGCGGTTTTTTTGTTTTTATGTTATGCACAAAAGTTAAGGACTTAAATTTTTTAAGGTAAGATGTAATAAAAGTAAATCTAATATTTTGATGAGATGTAAAATTCGATTAATGGAAGGTAAAAATATAAAGAAACAAATGAAATGCTAATGAAATTTTATTGTAACATTAATTAAATTAAAAATTATTATTTATTTTAAAAATAAAATTTATTCATTCTCAACGAAATATTTTCCATTTTTTGCAAATTTTTGTCACCTTTTTCGAAGGTGAGTAATTGTAAGAAAGCGCAGTCATTATTAATTTCTTAGATATAATTTCAAGTACAAAAATACATGTAGTAAATGCGACAAATTAAAAAAAAATAATTCAAATTATCACTTTTTTTATTACGAAAACAATGAAGAACACGCCATTGATAATCTTCGAAGTTCGATTACTGAAAGATATTGTAAAATTTCTTCAATATCTTCAGAAGAAAATTTAATTTTATAATTCCTTTCAATAAGATGAAACATACCATTTACGCACATATCGATTAATTCATTTCTTTGTTTACTATGCCAAACACGTTTCTCAAAAAAGTGAGCATAATTTGGAAATTTCTCGATCGATAATTCTAAGCTATTTAAAAATTTCTCGTTTCTTATATTAATTGCAACTTTATCAACAGATTTCATTAGAATGTCGTAAAAAGTAACATTTGATTCATCAATAATTTTTGTGTTTTTCATATTTATTATCTGTTGTTGACATTCATTTCGCCAATCGAGGTTTTCGGAGTGTTGATTATAAAAATTGACCTTTTGCTCCGCCTGTTGATCGCAGGGAAGTAGCTCTAGCCGCGCAACAATTATCTTCAAAATATTTATATATTCAGTATAATTCGACTTAAAGTTTAAAAGGCAATTGATATCCTCAATTTCGTCGATCACGTGTATGTTTGTCCAGAAACTATAGTACGAAAGAGATATTTTTCTGCAATCACAGTATTCTATAATAGTACATGCAATTTTTTGACGTATGTTTTGGAATATAGGTGAATAATAATGATCTAACATACAGTTGAATTCAATTTCTCTTGAATAATTGAGCAAGCACCTAATAATTTCCGGACGAAATTCTCCTTTTTTATCATTTTTATCATCGCTAGAAACTGTTAATTTAGAGGCATTTACTATTAATGTTTCATAATCACATTTTTTTATTTTATTAACTCCGGCGATTAAAAATATCTCTGTAATTTTTAACAAATTTTGAAACATTAATGGAGTAACACTCGTTTCATTATCATAGCGTGAGCATCTGTTCAGTGCATAATGAAGTGAAGTCAAACTACTCCCGCTTTCCATTGGATCAGCACCGAAATCTAAAAGAAATTTAACCATATTTGCATGACCTGCAGCTGCTGCAAAATCCAATGGGGTGATTTTTTGTTTATCTGTTTTTGAATAATTAATGTTGGCACCAAATTTCAAGAGTATATCTACTAATCGTGTATGCTCGAATGTTGCTGCCACATAAAGAGGATTTAATCCAAGGAAACTTTCGATTGAGAAACCCGCTGTTAATAGAATTTTAAGGATTTCTTCATTTCCATTTTCAACAGCAATATAAACTGCACATCCGCAAGATCTAAGATCAGATTTTACTTTACTCGCTTCTTTATTTATGATTTCCTCAACTATTTCGACTTGACCCGCACGCACAGCTGAATGAAGATCAGATTCGCAAGAACATGTTTCTGCAACTATTGTTGAATTGCATTTTAATAAATATTTCCAAACTTCCAAATTGCCAAAGTGAAGTGCTTCTTCAAGGACAGGTTTACGTCTTATTTTTGCGCCGTTTTCTATCAAGTGTTTTATAACATCTAAATGAGAAGAGTATATTGCCCACTCCAGGGGAGTTTCACCACTATTGTCTTTAGCATTAATTGCATCAAATCCATTCGTCATTAACAATTTAACCATTTCCAAATTTCCATTTTCAGCAGCAAAATGAAGAACTGTCGTTGAATTGTCATCTATTCGTCCTTCATAAGCTTTGACAGGTTGAGAAACATTGGCACTATGTTTTAAAAGAATTTCTACAAGTTGAATATTATTCTTCTGGGCAGCCAGTAGAAGTGTTTTTCTTAATTTATCTTGTCCATTTAGCTTAGCACCATTTTGTAAAAAAATCTCAACTAGTTGAATGTTCCCCATTTCAGTGGCGATATCAATTGCTGTTAATCCTTTTTTATTTAAAATATTTACATTTGCACCGTTTTGTAAAAGAATCTCAACCAGCTGAATGTCTTCATATTTCTTATACGTTTGTCTAGTGGCGATATGAAGTGGTGCTTCTTCTTGATATAAGAAATTTATATCGGCACCATTTTGTGAGAAAATCTCAACAAACTGAATTTTCTTCCTTATAATTGCATATGTAAATGGCGTTTTTCCATTATTGTTTACAATATTTACATCGGCACCATTTTGTAAAAGAATCTCAACCAGCTGAATGTCCCCCCTTTCAGTAGCCTTATGAAGTGGCGTTTCTCCATCATTATTTACTATATTTACATTGGCACGATTCTTCAAAAGAATCTCAACAAGTTGAATGTCAATCTCAGTCCTCTGTGTGGCGAGATTAAGTGGTGTGTTTCTATGTTGACCTCTAATATTGACATCGGCACCATTTTGTAAAAGAATCTCAACCAGCTGAATGTCCCCCCTTTCAGTAGCCATATGAAGTGGAGCTCTTCCATAATCATTTACTATATTTACATTGGCACCATTCTTCAAAAGAATCTCAACAAATTGAATGTCAATCTTAATCATCTGTGTGGCGAGATTAAGTGGTGTTTCTCCATCATTGTTTACAATATTTACATCGGCACCATTTTGTACAAGAATCTTGGCTAATTCCGAATGATCATAAAGAATGGCAACATAGAGAGGCGTTATATCCCGATTATCTTTTGCATTAATATTAGCACCATTTTGTAAAAGAATCTCAACCAGTTGAATGTTTCCCCTTTTAGAAGCCTTATGAAGTGGTGTTTCTCCATCATTGTTTACAATATTTACATCGGCACCATTTTGTACAAGAATCTTGGCTAATTCCAAGTGATTTTGAAGAATGGCAACATTGAGAGGCGTTAATTCATTTTCATCATGTTTGTACATTTTTTGCCGTGTATTTCATATAGTTTTTATCATCAATAAAAAATTTTAATGCAAATTACAATTTAAATATAATTCTCTATTATTAAAGAATAATTACTAAAAATGTATACAGGTGCGAATTCTAATCTTGAATACGAATCCTTCTTCTGGCTCAATTTTCTGTAACAAATAAAATTAAAAAATTCTTAATAAACTTATTTTTTAAAGCAGTATATAATACACATTTACTTTTCAGTAACGCTTTAACTGATAGTAATAGAGGGTTTAAAAATCTTGTTTGTTTAGGTGTGTACCCACAGATGGGCTCCTGTAAAGATACTCTATTTATATTAGTATATATTGTATGGAGCCGGGACTTCTAATTAGAAAAATATTGAGTAGCGTAAGATTTAAACATTTTAAACCTGAAACTTTGAAGCGCGTTTTCTCTAATTTCACTTTTTACGATTCTTATAAACATAGTGGGCGTGATTGACGGAAAACGCCTGCACCGATTTTAATGAATGGCTTTTTTTTACAGTTTCACAATTTCTTTTCAACTTTTTTAGTTTAAATAGAAACTAAATTTTTTTTTCAAAATGGTCCCAAATTTTCAAAAAAAATTTTTCTTAATTTTCTCTTCTTCGTGCAAAGCGTATTTGTGTATTTTTACGATAAAAATTTTATTTTTTTAGTTTGGTTGAAATTTGAGACCTGTAGGCTACACGGCACAAAACCAAAGATCTAACTTTAAACGCCTCTAACGCCGCCATTTTGCAATATTTTTAATTTAAAAAATTATTATACATAGCTTATATATTTTACACTTTAAGGTATGCTTTATTTCAATTCAATAAACTTGACTTTACTTGATTAGTCAAACTGAGTATAGCGGTGACAATTTTTATATTATTGAACCTTCATATAGAAATATTTTGAATATAATCATTGTTTTTGAATTTGTTAAGTAAAGAAAAATCAGTATTACTAAGGAATATTGTACATCTTCTTTCTTGTTAATAGTAAATTGGATGCTTTTAATATGGATCATTTCTGAAATCAGTCTTTTTTTAAAATGAAAATTCGTAATCTATAATTTTTGGGTCATCAGAATTGAAAGAATAATTATAATCAGCTTGATGTTTGTTTACAACTGAATCAGAATTTTTATTATTTTTATGTTCATTAATTCTTTTTTTTAAAGTCCGTTTAGATTCACCAATATAAGTAGCAGGACAATTATTGCAATTGAATTTGCACGGTGCACCTGAACTGATGAACACACAAAATATAACATAAAACTGTAAAAAGACTAAAATAAATAAACAGAAAATTGTAAAAAGACAATAAAAGGACAAAATAAATAATAAAATGAACAAATAAATACAAACTGTATACTGTTAATTACGCCTTTCTGCGGCCATCGAGATCCTTTCTCATCATAACAGAGATGATAAAGGTCTCGATGAGCCGTCAGTTTTCCTGGGACTGGATCATCAGCGCTACCATGTTCTCCGGTGTAACTGTAGCGTTTACACCGGTGAACATGGCCTGCCTCTCCAAGTCCCATCGACTGCAGGCAAAGAGGGTGTGCTCTGCGTTGTCCACAGGGAACTGGCAGCGTAAAGCAGCTTAGCGTGGGCGACACTCGCCACCAGTCTCCTTTTCTTCTCACGGGGACCTCCAACATTTGGCATCATCCGTGCTAAATTTGCCGCACATTCGATCGCCTTGTTTGACGCCGTAGCCATGTGGTGATGGAAGTTTAACCTTCCATCCAGTTCCACACCAAGGTACTTTATCTGTCTCCTCCACTTGACCTCGAATTCGTCTATCACGATTCGTGGGGATTTATAACCACGTCTGTCTGTGACCAGCAATGCTTCGGTCTTTTCCAGGGCCATTTGAAGACCTCTGGTTTCCAGCCAGCATTTTGCTAGCCGCAGACATTCGTTCACCAATGTCCCCAGAGCTTCCGCCGAGTCGGCAGTGCACACGATCAACGCGTCGTCCGCAAAGCCGACGATCACCGCACCTTCGGGCAGGTCCATTCTCAGGAAGTCATCGTAAGATACATTCCATAAAAATGGTCCTACCCTCGAGCCTTGAGGGGCCCCACGCTGCATCTCTTCCTTGAGAATGCAGGTGTCTCCCTCGTAAATAACCCACCTGTCGCTTAGATAATTATCCATTATCCGCAACAGGTAGGGCGGTATACCCTTCTGTATCATCGACTCGATGAGATCTTCCCATCTCGCGGAATTGAACGCGTTCCGTATGTCTATTGCTACCAACGCGCAGAAGCTCTTCTTCTTATCTGGACCCAATTTGTTTTTCCCTTCTCTGGCGAGGTCTACAACTGCCTTTATGGCATCAACTGTAAACCGACCTTTGCGGAATCCAAATTGGTTATCGGATAGACTATTCTCTCCGGTCAAGTGAGATTGCATTCTCTGCAGAACCATGTCCACTAGAAGTTTGCCCATCGTATCCAACAGGCATATAGGCCTGTAGGATGAGACCTTACCTAGAGGTTTGTCACCCTTTCTTAGGAGGACCAGCCTTTGCCTCTTCCAGTCTGGAAAGAACTCTCCTCTCTCTAGGCAGCGATTGAAGATGTCCAGCAAAATCTGGGGGGAAGCAACAAAAGTTATTTTGACATTTAAACCACTGTAACTTTTACAATTTCATTTTAATCAAGAAATTTTACATATAAAAGTTGTTTGCTTTCTCCTAAACTATAAAGCTATGTAGTAAAAATTTTTTTTTTTTTGAAAAAATAAAAATTTTGAAAATTCTGTAGTTTTTGCATTTTTTGATGAAAATGGCTGACTAACGAACTTGACCTGTATCTTGACACTAACTATGTGTGTGCAAAGTTATAAGTCGATTCGCTACGATTTACAAAAGTTATTGTGTGAACAACATTTTGTGTCTACGGACAGACATATACATGCAGACACTTTCGCCAGACCATGATTTTTCGATTCAAGGCACCTTAAAACGTGAAGATTTTATAGAAATAGAAAAAGTCAATTTTCGACCAATTATAATACCTTCTCATGTGATGAGAATGTTTCTTAATAAAACATTGCAGATGCCTTCTTGTTTTGTGCGAAATTGTAAATCGCAACAAAAAAGAACAATTAAATCCTCTGATGAAGAAAAGTTTCTTTCATGCAACAACGATTATTATAATAAATTATTTTTTACTTATTATAATTTAAACAATAGATATAAAATTATAATATTTTTGTATATGGGGCATTCTATTTTAAAATTATACCCCTAGTAAGCAATTGACAATATAAGACATTTTTTAAATAATTATTTCTCCCATTTAATTAAATCAAATTACTTTTGCAATGAGTGGTTTCGAAAGAGAAATTTCTAAACTATACAATTGTAAAAAAATTTTTCAAAAAAACATTTAAATAGTATAAAAAATTTAGTTTGAAGGTTAAACTTGTAAATATCTCAAAACACGTTGTCTCCGATTTTGACAAAATCTATGTCAAAAGAAAGCTTAAATATTCTATTTTTTATTTCCGTAAAGTTTATAATGGACATTTTCGAGAATTTCCAGAAATTAATTAAAATTCTCAGACGTTTCGGAGGTTAAAAAGGATTGAAATTTGTATGAATGGAGAACCATTTCTTTAAGAGCGGATTTTGTTTTTTAAATTTAATTTCCATTAACCTTACATTATTACATCACTTGACATTAGAGAAAAAAATATTGTAAACAAATGGATAATTTTAAATACAGTGTTTGTGTGAATCCTTTTAAAAAAGAAAACCATGGAAAAGGAAAAGGCTTAAGAAATATTTCAGAAAAAATAAAGAAAAAATTTCCCGATATTACCAACAAAGGGTTAAAAATTTGTCACTCTTGTCGTAAAGAGGCATCGCATTTTTCAAACGAAATTGGAATTGATAAACTTTCTGATGAATCTTCAGGATTAGAAAATATTAAAAGTAATTTCCCTGCTAAAAATAAAATCAGAAATCAGTCTCAAAACGTCAGAAATCCTGACGTTTTGAGACTATTTTGATGTTCTGTGATGCTGCTGACTAATTCTGACTTAAATAGTTTTTATGGGCCTGACGTTTTCTAAAAAGTGACGATTTCTCACTACGTTTTATTTTTTTTTGTAAAAAGGGTTCCAAGAGAGGTACCAAGGCCACTCAAACCCACCATATAACTCTATTATATTATATATTCCCTTTTTCCAACAGAAGGGTCCTTTCGAGGGTCCATCAGGTTTTATGACTTTTTAATGCAAAATAAAAAATTATTTAAATTTAAATAAATATTTTTTTAAATGTTATATTTGTAATTTATAGATTTTAACGATTCCAATGATATAAAACATTATGTAAAAACTCTAAAATTACATAATGATTATACAATAAATACTCCATTAATTAAAATTAATTCTCAATAATTTAAAAATATTTGCAAAAAATTTTATATCGTTGTAATTGTATTAACATGTACATTACGAATATAATATTTAAAAATCATTTTTTTCAAATGCAACAATTTTTAATTTTGCAATGAAAAGCCATAAAACCATAAAAGATCCTTCTGGCCTATACTTTTCTTTTTGTCCTTTTCTTACGTACATATAATATATATGGAATCACGTTTGTAAGACAAGGACAGAAAAGGGAAGGCGTCAATGACTACGACTATACTTTTAAAGTCCCTACTTCAAATTTGTATTTATTATTTTACAGTAAGCTAGTTTCCTTACATTTAGTTATAAGAAAGCAACATATGTTGAAAACCTATTCTTACCATTGTGTTAACTCTATATATATATATATATTTGAAAAAAATTAGAAATCGCTGGCTATTTCACATAAAAGTTTATTTTTTTACAACTAGATGAGCAAAAACATTCCGGTCTCTTGTAAAATAGAATATATGAATTGATCGCTCAATCAATCTCTGAGCGAATTTGATCCAGTTTTCACTAAATGTAAATTTGATTTGAACTAAATATTACATCTAATTATAGTGCAGTATGCTAAAAAGAGAAATTAAAATTAGTAATTATTTAGTTGATTTGTGGAAGAATTATGTTAAATTGAATTTTAATAATATAGTAATTAATATATGCATATTAATTAATTCGTATCATTATAATTAATTATAATAGTAATGAATGTGCTAAAACGTGAGCGAAAAACCTGATAAAATTCGCTCAGAGTTTACTTGAGACAATCCGACAGTATCTTATTATTCTAGACTATTTTATTTGTATATTACACATATTCTTTTAAGTTCGAATTCAAATAATATTTACATACGAATTTTTTGTTTAATTAAATATTTGCTAAAGCAAATTTTATTAATTGAATACATTAATATATGATAATTGGACTACAAATGTTTTTTGATCAATATAACAGTATACCTATTTTAACTTTACTTGTTAATTTTTAAAAATTATAAAATTTTTTTAAAATAATAATAATAATTATCAACAAAATATGTTGATAAAATTGAAAAAAAGTAATAAGATCTTCTATTTTCATAAAACCGTATTCTATTTTTAAGATCTCAGTTAGGTTAGTTTAGCTCAAGGGTTAGGTATTCGGTTTGCGTTCGTTAGGTTGTGAGTTCGATTCCCTGCGTTTGCGAGATTTTCTTCGATAGGAGTAAATAAATATAATAAATTGTAAAAATAATAATTAAGAATGTGTAACGTAAAGATAAAAAAATGTTGTGCGATAATTTATTTTTTTAATGATAAAATATTGATTTTTTTTAATTTTTAAATATTTGTAGTCAGAATTCATGAGAAGTAAGTCAGGAATCTTCAAAACTATTTTATAGAAAGAAATGTCATTTAACATCACAAATAGTCACAGGGTTTAATGATTTATGGTATGGCAAAAAAAAGGGTCTCCGACCCTCATAAAAAATCTGACTACTATTGACGATTCTTTGACTAAACCTCACTTATTGTGGTGTTCTGTGACTGCAATCGTAACAAAAACAGTCTCAAAACGTCAGAGATCCTGACTAATTTTTTGACGTTTTGTGATTTTATTTTTAGCAGGGTTAAATAAATAAAATTAACAAAAATCAAACAAAAAATATTACTGAGTAGTATTAAAATATTATTTTAGAAAAAAATTTATTTTCTCGATTTAAAGATACTTAATATTTTATTAATATATTTAATTTAATATTAATAATATTTAATAATTAATAAATTAATAATAAGATATCATTAATAGTATTAATAATAATTAAAAATAATTAATAATAATAAAATTAATATATTATTATTAATAGTATCCCAGATAGCACGCAAGTTTGCTGCCAACTTGCAGCCGACTTGCGTTGCAAGTTTTGCAAGTTTGCAATGTCCCAACGTAGCTTGCAAAGCAAGTTTGCAGCAAGTTTGCAAATACTACATTATATTTTGCAAAACTATGTTTTAAATAAACAAAAAAACAATGCGCAGTTCAATTCTATAGCACATAGGGCTGCGCAGTAAATTTTTTTTACCTCCCAGCTACAGTGCTAAATACATAGTAAAGGGAATTTGTATCTTAAATTAAATTAATACTTAATTAATTAATACGTTAAATAATAAATTAATAATCTTCCAATGCAAGTTTGCAGCAAACTTGCAGCAGACTTGCTTTGCAAGCTACGTTGGGACATTGCAAGCTTGCAGCAAACTTGCAAAACTTGCAACGCAAGTCGGCTGCAAGTTGGCAGCAAACTTGCGTGCTATCTGGGATATATGTTAATATTATTTTTTATTTTATTTTTTTTAATATTTATTAAAGAAAAATAAAGAAAATAATTAATTCTCTTGTAGATGTGTGTAATGGGAAGGAGGAAATTTTTAATCAAATAAAAGAAAAATTGAAAAATGCAAGTACTACGAAAGAGAAAATTACACTTTTAACTCTCGCGCCTGATTCTTGGGGAATAAAAAAAATAGCTAAAGAGTTTAACATTAGCTACTTTTTGGCTAAAAAGGCAAAAAATTTGGCGAGAAATCATGGAATTTTATCCACACCAAGTCCAAAAAAAGGTCCTCGTTTGCCAGAAGAAGTAACCAATCTCGTAAAAAAATTTTTTGAATCTGACGAAAACAGCAAAATGCTTCCGGAAAAGAAAGATTGTCTTTCTATAAAAGAAGATAATGGTTCACGAGTTACTCATCAGAAACGTTTATTATTGGCTAATTTATTTGAATTATACGAATTATTTAAAAAGGAGAATGAAGGCGTCAAAATAAGCTTTTCTAAATGTTGTCAATTAAGACCTAAATATTGTGTGAGTGCAGGATCTAGTGGCACACATGTGGTTTGTGTTTGTGTTTACCACGAAAACTTAAAATTAATGATTGAAGGATCTAATTTAAAAAAATTGACTTATGATACTGAAAAGCCATTAAATAATTACACGGATTGTATAAATGTAATTATCTGTCAGAATCCTACGCCTGAATGTTATTTAAATGAATGCCATAAATGTCCTGGTAAGGATGAAATAAAAAATTTGCTGACATTACTTTTTAATACAAATAAAATAAAAGAAATCAAATTTGAAGTGTGGCAAAATACCGACCGAACAACGCTGAAAACAGAAATCATGAAAACAAATTGCTTCATTCAAGATTTTTCCGAAAAACTAATAAACCTGAAAACTCATGATTTCTTAGGACGAAAGCAATCGTCTTCTTTAAACGAATTAAAAAATAATTTATCACCTAACGAATTTCTCATCCAACTAGATTACGCTGAAAATTATGCATTTATTGCTCAAAACAGTGCACAGGCATTTTATTGGAATTATAAACAAGCTTCAATATTGACAGTGATGATTTATTATAAAAAAGAGAATGAAATAATGAATAAGTCTATAGTTATTATTTCAGATAATTTAATCCATGATTCCGTGTCCGTTTATCAATGTCAACAAGAAATAATTTCATTTCTTAAAAAAAATTTTGATGTAATTAAACTTATTTACTTTACCGATGGAGCTCCTCAACAATTCAAGAATAAAAATAACTTTTCGAATTTGAAATTTCATTATGACGATTTTGGATTGGAAGCAGAGTGGCATTTTCATGTTACGGGGCATGGAAAAGGACCCTGCGATGGTCTGGGTGGGACTTTCAAACGACAAGCTGCACGCGCAAGCTTACAACGGCCGTCAGGAGAACAAATTCTATCCCCTAAAGCACTTTTCACGTGGGCTAAAAATCATTTTTCAGGAATGGAAATTAGATTCGTTTCAAAGGAAAATTATTTAATTGTAAAAAAAAATCTTCAACATAGATTTGAAAACGCAGTCACAATACCGGGAACACATCAGTATCATGCATTCATTCCTATTTCTCAACAACAAATTTTTTTGAAAAAGTACTCAACATCTTCGAAATCAACAACTTTTCCTTCACTTAAAAAGACCTCGAAAACGGCAGAGAACTTGATTTTTTTTACACTATGAAAAAAAATTATTTTATTAATTAATAATATTTATTAATTGAACTAATTTATTTGATGTGGAAAAAATGTTTTATAACTAGTTTTACTTGAAAGTTTCTAAGGAAATTCGATTTATGTGACAAATAATACAGCTAATTATGAACGTCATGTGCTTTCATTATTTATATACATAACAATATAAACTTAGATTTGTTTTTTTATTACTATGTATATTCAATTTCAAATATTTAATTTGAAATATTTATTTTTAACATTTCCTATTTTCTTCAAAAAAGAAAACTTCAATAGAAATGTTATTTTCTCCTATAAAAAGCTCATTAAAAATAAATTAACTTTTGTACAAAATTTTGTGACTATTCAATTTAATTTCACAAATCAACAACTTTTCCTATACTAAAAAGGCCTCGAAAACATGACACTGAAGTTACCAACGTTGAATCGACGAAAAGAATTTTCTTTTTCCTAAGATTGAATATTTCCTCGCCTTAATTGAGGATTTTTAGTATTTCAAGATGTATTCGGGACCAAAATAAAGAAGTTTCAATTAAAAAAAATTGGTTCTTGGCCTTTAAACTAATCTGAAAACGAAAAATTCGTTCGTCGATTCGTCGAATCAACGTTGGTAACTTCAGCGTCATTCGAAAACGTCAGAGAACTTGATCAATTTTTTTACTAATTTTATAAAATTATAAAAAATTTAAATATTCTATTATTGTATACGATCTGCGTGTTAAATTGTTATTTGTGAGATTTTAATAAATTATAATACAATAATAATTCTAACAAAATTAATTACTAACAAGACGAGATATCTAATCGTTTATATTTCCAAAAAATATTATTGTAAAATGTTTAAAAAAATTTATTTAAAATATGAATTTATAGTAATGAACAAAATAGTATTAACAAAAAAACAATTTTTTTATGAACTATTATTGTGGTATTTTGATTTCAGAAAAATTTATAAAAATTAAACTCAGGTTAGAGAGATTTTACTAAATATATTGATCTTTAGCTATTTGCAATTAAAAATTTTTCAAATTTAAAAAAATTATTAAGATTAAAATTGAAGTTTTAAAATTTATTTATTTAAAAATTTCGTAAAAACAAATGCCGCTGTATTTGAACAGAGGTTCTCTATTCATGCAAATTTCAACCCTTTTTAACCATTGAAACGTCTGAGAATTTTAATTAATTTCTCGAAATCCTCGAAAATGTCCATTATAAACTTTACGGAAATAAAAAATAGAATATTTAAGCTTTCTTTTGACACAGATTTTGTCAAAATCGGAGACAACGTGTTTTGAGATATTTATAAGTTTAACCTTCAAACTAAATTTTTTATGCTAATTAAACGTTTTTTTTTAAATTTTTTTTACAATAATAAAGTTTAGAAATTTCTCTTTCGAAACCACTCATTGCAAAAGTAATTTGATTTAATTAAATGGGATAAATAATTATTTAAAAAATGTCTTATATTGTCAATTGTTTACTAGGGGTATAATTTTAAAATAGAATGCCCCATATACGGGTGATTCTCCGCGTAGCGCACGATTTGGTGTCTGAAACTTTAAAAAAAATTTTTTATCGAAATGATAAATATCAATATGTATTTTTGAAGATAAAGTGTCAAGAAATAAATATCCATGGTGGGCCGGACAAATTGTTTATAATTTTTTAAACAAATTAAAAAAAAATTTTTTTTGCTTTTTGAATTATATAAAATAGTTGAAATTTGATTTATAATGTTAATGAAAATTTTTGGGGTAATTCACAAAAATATATATAGCGCAAACGACAATTAAAAATTTTGATTTCGGTAATTTACGGAAATTTTCGAGGTAATTTATGGAAATTTATGCGGTAATTTATGGAAATTTTGTCTAATATTCATAAAAATATATAAAACATAAATAACAATTAAAAATTTTAATTTTGGTAATTTACGGAAATTTCCGCGGTAATTTATGGAAATTTTCGCGGTAACTTACAAAAATATATACAGCGCGAACGACAATTAAAAATTTTTATTTCTGTAATTTATGGAAATTTTCGCAGTAATTTACAAAAGAATAAATAGCGCGAACGACAATTCAAAATTTTAAATTTGGTAATTTATGGAAATTTATGCGGTAATTTATGGAAATTTATGTGGTAATTTATGGACATTTATGTAATTATTTATTACTTATCTAAAGTTCAATGTTTAAAACAAATTTTTTTGCTTCACATTTTATGTGCACTTAGACACTCGAGTGATACACGCCGTTCAATGGAGAAAAAGCTTTACCATGATGATGAGGCCAGACCATGACGCACAAGAAAAACTGATTTTTTCAACAATTTATTAACAATTTTCAATCTGTTTCATATGCATGTTATTTATATTCACTGAACTAATACTACTACACTTCAGTTGACATAAAATATAAATAATTATTAATTTTATTGAGAAATATTTGAAGGCCAGACCATGACGATTCTGTGATTCCCTATGCACATTTGATGCTTTTAATGTGTGAAAAACAAAAAAATAATTCTGAAAGCAGTTTCTCTCTTAGTAATTCACTTAGGAGAGCTTATTTTTGCTTTTAACTAATGGTGAGTGAAGATTCGATTTTATTTTATGTAAAAAAATGCTATTTTATAAAAAGGCCAGACCATGACGCAAAAACGAGGGACAAAAATTAACACCAAAAAAATAAAAAAAAAAATTTTTTTCTCACAAATGGTTTTTTTTTCACAATTCTACTAACATAAACAATACGAAACTATCAATAGTTTTTATATTGATTACTGTATTTTACTAAAAATAACATTTTTTTATATGAAAGTGGTACTGGGGACAGGTCATACCATGACGTTTTGGCACCTTAAAACAGCTTTTTAAGTAAAATTATAAACTTTTAATTAAAAACGACTATGGGCTTTTGTTTGTAAACATCGAAATTAGTTTTTCCCATTGGATTTATTGCAATATGTGCAATTGATTTTTTAAAAAATACTAGGGACATTAAGTTGTGCGGTACGCGGAGAATCACCCATACATAATTTTTTATAGGACGAAATGCTTCAAGCATGGAGAGACGCTTGGTGTTTATTATAGTAGTAGCAGACGAATTTTCATAGGTTAAAATCAACAGTTTCGTGTTTTTCCTGCAAGGAACGCCACCTCTGTCTATTCGAATTTTCCGGAATGACGTTATAGATAATTCCTTATTCTTATTTCATGAGCATATGCTTTAAATTTAAAAACTTTTTTAATTGACTCAAAAGCATATTCTGTTGATTCAATAAAAATACCATTACATTAACATAGTTTTCTGTCAATTTAAGAAATATGCTTATGTTTCAATGACAGTGACACTATCGAATCATTAAAATGGGTGCTTTCAAAACAAAGACATAATATATAATTATAACGATTTTGTTAAACATACCCAATTGATCAACAATTGCAGATTATTTGCCAAAGACCTCCTCAGGATGTATTTGTACAAATTATAGCGTATTTATAAGTTACATCATCCTAAATAGGTTCACTATATCAATTTGTAAACTTGATCTAAAAAATCCAACGTATTAATTATCTCAACTATTTGTTGTATTGTTTTAACTATATAACTGCTGTTGAAATATAAAATTAATTTTGGAATAATATTGTTAAGTACCTTGATTAATTTTCTGGGTGGAAATTAAAGATTTGGGAACATCGACCAAATAATTTGTTTCAAAATCGTGGCCTTTTCTTCTTTTTCTTAAAAAAATATATTATTGTAGATATACCGAACTTTATTTAAAATACCTATAGGCAGAGTTTGATAAAAATAAGTACATAGTTACGCCAAAGGCATTAGCACTTCGAGAATGAACGTGAATCATGAATTAGAAAAGGACAGATATACACTATACAGTCGAATACGGAAGCTTCTACGCGTCACCACCAGGGATGCGCAGTTACGCGTAACTGAGAGTTTTTGACGTAATTTACGTCAAAAACGTAATATACGTATAAATCGTATGAAATGTATGAAACTAAATCAAGATGGCGGATTTAAATTTAAATCATTTACAAACATAACCTGATAACCAAACATAACCTTTTAATATATTATATACACTGTAAAAAAAATTTTGTGTCGATTTACACGCCGAATGTAAAATAACTTATTCAACAATGTTAATTTATTATGCTTTGTAAATTTATAACGTTAAACATTTTAATTTTACACTGCTGAACGTTGTGAATTCACACGGTTGTGTAATTTTACAATGTTGGACATTGGAAAGTATGGCCATACATACATGTGGCCATACTTTCCAATGTCCAACATTGTAAAATTACACAACCGTGTGAATTCACAACGTTCAGCAGTGTAAAATTAAAATGTTTAACGTTATAAATTTACAAAGCATAATAAATTAACATTGTTGAATAAGTTATTTTACATTCGGCGTGTAAATCGACACAAAATTTTTTTTACAGTGTATAGTTTTAAGTTGTCATGAGATCGATATCAATGAATACCATGAATACTAAAGAAAGGTTATGTTTACATATATCACAAATTCACAAATCGCTGCCATATTGAAAACGTAAATTACGTTTTGTAGAAAACGAGTGACGTATATAACGTACGTTATATACGTATGAAATTACACGTAATCTACACTACGTTTATTACGTGCGCATCCCTGGTCACCACAAAACCAAGTTTATGCTCGATTCATTTTAGCCTCGAAAACTAAAGGCACTCTCACACCTTTTTGGTTGCCTGCCTGCCTGCAGGTTACCATGGCAACGTACGAGTGTGAGTGAGACAGAAAATTTGAATATTCAAATTTTTAAATTTTCTGTCGCATTCACTCTCATGCGTTGCCATGGTAACCTGCAGGCATCCAAAAAGGTGTGAGAGTGCCTTTAAGAAGCGTTTGTGATTTCGCTGTTTCCATGTTTTTGACGTGAAAAACCGCGAGGTGGTTCGGGTGTTTGGTCGTTCGCACGTTCGCAGATTCGACAATTTGTCCAAAATCGTGTAACATTGTCTTTTTAGTTATATTTATAGATAAAAGTAAATAAGTTGATATTTCAATTCTTAAATTTTATGTAAGATTTTATGATGTCCGCAATTAAATAAAGTTTTTGCTTTTATTTTGAGGTGGATTGGTGTTTTTCTTTGTTATCTATGTAATAATAAATATAAATAAATAATGTGCGATTCCAAGTGAGATTTTGACTTTTTCGGAGTAGGTTAACCGATTGCAATGAAACTTTGGAATTTTGTTATATATAGTAAGACTAATCTTTAACGTAAATTTCAGCCTAAAATATTTGTTAGTTTACGAGATTTGCAATAATAACAAAAAATTTAAAACTGCTATATCTTCCGTTCTAATAAACGGATTGAGGTCTACTTTTTTTTAAAATGTCGAGGAAAATGAGAGGAATAAATCTCTTTCAGAACATTTTTTTATAATTTTACAACTAAAAAAATTATTAAATAATAATTGAATAACTTTCGCGCGACTAACTAAAATTCAATCACTTAAACGCTAAAATGATCTTACCTGTGTTTTCTTTAATGTTCCAAAGGATTTTTATTGTAAATGTAAGTTTAACTTAAGAAATTTTATTAATTTATTAGTATAAACAATTGAGATTTCTGCTAGTTGACGTGCAGACGACATTGCGCACGCAGCATTCTCAAGGCCTTTCTCCAATAGGATCCTAAACTCTTGCGTTGCGTATGCATTGCGTCGGTTGCTATTGGCAACCAATGCTAAAATCAACGCGTCAGTCACGCAACGCAAAAGTTTAGGTTCCTATTGGAGAAAGGCCTTCACATAGCCAATTTAGTCCACGAATCACGTCAGTTGGCTATGTGAGAATGCTGCGTGCGCAATGTCGTCTGCACGTCAACTAGCAGAAATCTCAATTGTTTATACTAATAAATTAATAAAATTTCTTAAGTTAAACTTACATTTACAATAAAAATCCTTTGGAACATTAAAGAAAACACAGGTAAGATCATTTTAGCGTTTAAGTGATTGAATTTTAGTTAGTCGCGCGAAAGTTATTCAATTATTATTTAATAATTTTTTTAGTTGTAAAATTATAAAAAAATGTTCTGAAAGAGATTTATTCCTCTCATTTTCCTCGACATTTTAAAAAAAAGTAGACCTCAATCCGTTTATTAGAACGGAAGATATAGCAGTTTTAAATTTTTTGTTATTATTGCAAATCTCGTAAACTAACAAATATTTTAGGCTGAAATTTACGTTAAAGATTAGTCTTACTATATATAACAAAATTCCAAAGTTTCATTGCAATCGGTTAACCTACTCCGAAAAAGTCAAAATCTCACTTGGAATCGCACTAATCGATTTATTTTAATATAAGGTTATGTAGTATGTATGCACGTCAGATTTTACATAATAATTGTCCTTTCTTTTCACATGTTTATCTTATATTATTTACAATAATATATAATGCTTAGAGAGAATTATTTAATAGGATGTTAATAATCCTGTGTAATTTCGTGCGGGGTTTTTTTTATTTCTATGTAAAGTCATCCCGATAAGAAATTGCTTTTTGACAGCTTTAGAATTTGATAAGCATGATAAACAACACTTCCAAATAAACAAAGTTTTATGAAGAGGGATCAGTCCAAATTATTTTGAAACATGTTGTTTTTTAATACTTAATATAATATTGAATGTAACTAACAAATTTTTGATTTTCAACAATCACTGACACATAAATTTATGTACAAATTTTTTACAAAAATGAATGTCTGTCTGAATTGCTAAAGTCTTTTTTATGAATTTCAGCCAATTTATAAAATTTTTTTATTATCTATAGTACATGATATATTTCGTTTTGTAAATAAAAAAAAGACGCATGTACATCTTACTTGAAAATGAGATTCTTTTAAATTTATAAAATTTACGAATAATGCGAGATTTCATTACAAATAAAAGAAAAAGAAAATTGTAACTCTTAAGAGAAGTTACTTAACAAAAGAATTAGAATTATTATGACATATAATTACATGTGAATACTTTTTTAGACATTTTATTTCTAAATTAATACAATAAATAACTATCAATTCCAAAAAAAATTATTTTATATGATATGACCAATCCACCTCAAAATAACGATATTTTCTACTCAAAATAAAAGCAAAAACTTTATTTAATTGCGGACATCATAAAATCTTACATAAAATTTATGAATTGAAATATCAACTTATTTACTTTTATCTATAAATATAACTAAAAAGACAATGTTACACGATTTTGGACAAATTTTCGAATCTGCGAACGTGCGAACGACCGAACACCCGAACCACCTCGCGGTTTTTCTCGTCAAAAACATGGAAACAGCGAAATCACAAACGGTTCTTTAGTTTTCGAGGCTAAAATGAATCGAGCATAAACTTGGTTTTGTGGTGGCGCGTAGAAACTTCCGTAGTCGAACGTACATTATGCCGAATTTACAAACGCCGAAGAATGAAAAGCGCTAATAAAGCCCTAAGCACAACTGAGTCGGTTGCGCTAGTCGGGTACGGTATATGGGGCTCCTAACCTCAAAATGTATGCAAAAGTTACATTTACCGCAACCGACTCAGTTGTGCTTAGGGCTTAAGGCAGTCCAAGAAAGATTGAAACTTTCAAATGAAAGTTTCAATCTTTCAATGAAACGTTTCACGACTCACAACCCATTGTGGAACCAGCCTTAGGAACCTATTGGAGAAAGGCCTTAACGCGTGCCCATTCTGGACTTAGCTTTAAAGCGCACTGTAAAAAGTCGAAAAAAAAATTTTCCAGCGACGGCAATTTTCCTTTTAAAATCTCTAGTAATAATACTACTTTTAATGTGGGATTAATGGGTGGGTTAATGTTAATTGGTATTTACAAATCCGCGGTAAATTTCCTTTCTTTGACGGTAAATTTGTTTCTTTTAAAGAGGGTAATAATCGTTCCCACATTCAATGAGGTAAAATGATTAATGATGGCGAAATTACAGCAGATGGGAAAATTCCATTACCGAAACGTAACCTTACCATGTTGAAAATGTCAAGTATCCAGTAGATGGGAATTTTTCTTTTACGAAACCAAGGAATATTGACACTTTTAATATGTTACAATCACTTGTTTATATAAAAGTGACATATTAAAAGTGGGAAATAATCGTTCCCTCTTTCAAACAGGAAAAATTCCTTTAATACTTTTTACAGTGCGGTTCCAGAATAGGTGCAAAAGTCAAGTGCAAGTACAAGTCCAAATGCAAATCCCATGAGTGCAAGAGAGATAGATAGGCTACCTACCTATCTTTTTCGCACTTATGGGATTTGCATTTGGACTTGTACTTGGCTTTTGTACCTATTCTGGAACCGCCTTTAGACGAATAGTATTCGTCGAATACACGTTCTGCCTGCTCTCGGAGCGGTGTCGTCAAGTCGAATACGCTACACTATTTGCTCCGAGGCAGAGTTGCCAATCCGAATACATGCTCCTGAGTTAAAGCCCCTCGTATTTTAAAATTTTTTACTTTCGAAATTCGTTAGAAAAAAAATTGTTTTTTTTTTTGAAACTGCAAACTGAGATGAACCCTCATATGGTAAAGTGAATTCTTTAACAGAAAATGTTTAATTTCTATAAATCTCCATAACCCACAGTCAGAAATTTATCAGTTGTAGTTTTTCCAGTTAGATATTACCATACGATGGTAGAGAAGAGTAAGTTAAATGACTAGTGGAGATTTTCTCCAAGAGATAGTAGCGTCAATTCAATAAACGCCGGCTGTAGACAGGAGTGACTGTTGCTTAGCAACATACATACTATACACTCGTGAATTTTGTGAGCAGCATGCTAAGCAACCGAACATAACGCACGG